TTTTTTTTAGAAATTAATTAAATTGAAATTTTATTATTTTTACCGGAAATAATTTCACAAACTTGGCGAAACAATTTTGAAATTTTTTTTCGCAGAATTTAATTTTTACTGATAAATCATTTGGTATATATTTTTAGTTACAATTAAATAACATTGTCTAGGAAAAAATTTTAATCGGAATAGTTTTATTACTTTTTTACCATAAAACAAGAATTCCCAAAAAATTTTAAATTTTCGAGCCATCAAACTTCAACTAAAAGTACTACATTATATTTTACACAAGCACTAAACCACTTTTACCATTTTCAAGTGTATGACATTGTGGCAATTTTATCCATCCTAATGCAAGAAAGTTTTATTGATATTTGCATCCACCCCAATGTTTTGTAAAAAAATATTAAATTTACGCAATACATCAATTCAACGTCAAACCGCCAAAAGCCACTTGGCGCAGTTGTTTAAAAATTGTTTGCATTTTTCACGCTTCAACACAGTTGTTAATTTTTTATTAAATTATCATTTTATTTTTGCGATTTTATTTTATATTTTGTCGTTGCAAGCATTATTGTTTGCCTTATGTACAAAAGGAAAAAAAATCATTATCTTCAAATTTGCATTCAAATGTGTTTGAACTTCTCACAAAAAGCAGCAAGCACACAAAACATCACCACCTACTGAACGTCTGTCTCCCAGCGTACGGGTCATTCGCTTGACGTATACATACATACATATGTATAAATTTGCAAACACAAACACACATTCTTTGGCGGATCTTCGAAAATCCAAAATTAAAAATTTCTGTTTAACAACCGCCAGCGCGCAGAAAAGTCATAAAATTCATAACAAAATTTGTCGAATGAATATTTGCAACCGACCCACCACCGACCGGCCCGGCTCAACTGTTCATCTGCCTGCCTGACTGACTGACAGCCCGATTGACTGACTGATGCTCGAGTCGTTGCCGCTTCTTGTTGTTAAATTATTTGTTTATTTGACTTTACTCGCATGCGCATTCGACCGTGGCCATACACACAAAATGCACGCACAAAACAACAACAAGAAAAAACACGAAACTCGAAAAAAACACCGCTACGTGAAAATTAAACCGCAATTGTACAAGTATCGTCGTCATCCGTCATATCGGCCAATACCGCCGGAAACTGAATATGAACTGGCACTTGGCGGCGGCGGCGTTTCGAGTTGGGCCCAGAAGACAGTGTGTGTATGAGTGTTCTCAACGGGTTCAGTATTGGTGCAAGTGTTCTCACACACAAAAAGTTCGAAGTTGTGTGTGCGTGTGTGAAGGCGCCTCTGTTTCCCATTTTCCCTAACGTTTCAATAAGCTTGCGAACACGTACGCAACGCAGCGGAAATGAAATTCATTCAAAACAGAGAATTTGTTAAAATACTTTGCTGGTTTTCTACTCCCAAGTGCTCTTTGAGCAAGCGGCTTTTGTTGCTGGTGCTAACACGAATACCCTACCACCGCCTCAGTTGCCGTTTTGCCTTTTCTTGCCATACTTGTTGTTATTGCTGTGCACTGTAATGCAACACTGCGTTTTGAACGCGATTTTTAATTTTATTTTGGTTTCAATATCGTTTTTTCCGCATGGCCTTTTTTCTGTTTTCCGTAGTTGCCTGAATATCATCGAAATCTCAGACAATAGCTTTTGGGTGTGTGTGTTCGTGTGTACTCCGTTGCGTATGAGTGATCATCGTGATTCTAGTAGTATGTCTACATATTTTCGAATTGGCACAGTGGAATGGGTTTACGACTTAAAAGTAAATTGGGCGGAAACACCAAATGAGATTTTTAGAAAGTCTGTGGTAGGATAAGATAGAAAATTTTTCTAGCAAGTTTTTTTTTTGAAAGAGGTGCTCTCCTGGCCACAGATTATTTTAATTATAGCAATCAACTTTTCTATGTAAAGAAACGTTTATTGCTTTTCTCTTGAAATGGAGTTAAATAATAGAAGTTTTTAAATCTAAAAAATTTCAAAATTTACTAATTCTATTTTAATTATTTACCTTTTAGATTCATTAAAGTTTTTATGAAAAAATATTCAGAAAACACATTAAAAAAATTAATTTTCTGAATCACTAGTTTTTTTTTTAGTTTTTAAACTGCACATTCGAACAGCCCTCAGAAAATTATTTGAATCAAAATCTGCGAAAAGTTTCGAAATTTTTGAATTTTTTTATTTCATCCCTAGAATTTTTTCTACTGTGAAAACTTAAATTTTTTTTAATATTTCCTACTTTTTAGTTCACTAAAAAAAATTCAGAAATTCTGAACCAACATTAGAACAAGAAAAAAATGTTGTATGTGTTTGTAAAAAAAAAAATAAACTTTTTTAATTTCTCTTTTTTATTCTATCACAAGAAAACTATTTTCCACTGTTAAGCACTTATATTTTTTATTTTAAATACTTTCTTTTCAATGTTGCTGAAAAAATTCAAAAATATCCTAGTAAAACATTTTACTTATTTTTTTTTTACCATGCAAATAAAATTTCGTCAAAAGTTAACTCTTTTTGAAAAATTGCCCCTTGTTTATTCTATCACCAGAAGAAAAAACTTTTGTTTACTGTTAAAAAATTACTCTTTTGATTTTAAAATTGTTTATTTTTTTGATTTCACTGAGAAATTTAAAAAAATTCTGTCTTAAAAATTTTACTAAATGCTTTTTTATCACAAGAGTATAATTTCGTCAAAAACCTGTACTCTACTTATGTAAAATTACTTTTTTATTGCAGCCGAAGAATGTACATGTAAAGACCTTTTTATTTCAGCCAAAAATATGTACATACATATTTTACTAATTGTTTCATACTTTTTTGAAATGTTTTAAAAAACCCTGCGAAGAAGTTTTAAATTTTTTTTAATTTTTTTACCACGAGACAGTTTTGGAGAAAATAATTCCTTTAAAAATTTAAAAAAAGGAAATTTTTTTCTAAATAATTGCAGAAATACTAAGGAAAAATTTTGAAATTTTCAGCTTTAAGACTTTAATTTTAAATATTTACACAAAAATTTAAAAGTTTGCTAATTCTGCCGAAAAAATGTAACCAAATAATTTTTTTGTTATTTGTTACCGTTTTCTCGACAAATTGTTGTGTTTTGTTTAACTTTGTTGAAAATTTCCATAAACCACTGCGAAAAAATTTTAAAATATTATGACCTTTAAACAAAAATTTCGAAGATCATTTAAATTTTTAAGGAAACATTTTTGAAAATAATTTCAGTAGTATCTACATATGCGTAGCATGCAGACAAACGAATTTTTTATACATAAAAAAAATAAAAAATAAATGGTTTCTGTCAAAATTTCTTAAACTAATAAAGTAGCTCACAGGAAATTTCATATATATATTTTATATTGTACTTTTCTAAAGTTTTTTTTTATTTTCCTGCCTTTCTGCATTTAAAGCAACCGAAATTAAAAAAACGACGTATGTCTTAAAATGTTTCTTAAAAGTCTTTTGTTTTTGATTTATTTTTTTACGCCTTTTCCGAAATTTAAGCCAAAGAAAACCAAATTTTGTTGATGTTTTTTTTTATTTTATTAAAAATATTTCAGAAATACTGCAAACAAGCATTTGATATTTCTTATATTTTTTTCTATTTTGGAACATTTACATATGTACATACATACTTTTTTTAATAAAATATTATTTTTGTTTACTTTATACTTTACATATGTATTTATTATTTTTTTTTTTAATTGTATTCAGTTCCCAAAAAAGGAGGCTTACAAACACCAAAAAACTGTTTGCATAGGCTTTTTCTAATTAATTTTTAAATAATTTTACTAGACCCGAAAAAACTTCATTAAAAATTTTACTTTTGTGAAATATATATTTGAGGGCAACAGAGATTTTTCACCAAATATTATATTTTTTGTAGGAATAGTAAAGTTTCCATTAAATTTGTTTGGTTTGTAATTCCAAAAGAAATTTTATGAAAATTTACAATATTTTTGCCAGTTTAACTCAAGATAACTTCAGAAAGTCTGCGATAAAATTTTCTAAATCCACATATAGGAACTTTAAATTTTTTTAATAAATTTAGAAATTTTGGGAAAAAATCAGAAGTTTACTTCTACATAAAATTTGTATGACAAAAAATAAATTATAGCAAAATTAAAATTTTTTTGGGAACATAATTTGTGTTTAAAATGTACATAAATTTTTAAAGCTACTTGAGAAAATGGGTCTAACACTTTCAAATTTTCTGAAAATAATATCAAGCACATTATGAAACTTTCAATAAAAAAATATTGTTTGAAAAAAAACATTTTCTTCCGAAAATTGTGGCATTGTATTAACTCAAAATATGTAGCTTCTGGTTAATTCTATAGGTTGATAACCGACTTGCTGCGGCCCTTTCACGGAAAACGAGAAAAGGGAACATGACTAACTGACGACACCCAAGTCCAAAAAGCTCATTTGATAGTCAGCACAGAAATTTCTAATTTTTACGTACAACCAAAATAAAAATTAAAATCAGCACAAAAAGTATGTTAAATGCATTTTTGAAATTCAAATTCAAGTGAAATCGCTATTGACATTCTAAAGAATAGCAAATCCAACTCTTTATATGTAGTAGTATACAACAACAGCAACAGCAAGTATTAAGCAAAAATGGTAATCAAAATGAACGCATACGTCAAAAAATGCAACACCTACAACAACTGCATAAGCATAAATGACAATTGAGACAGCTAATCGAGAAGACAAGCAGAAGAAAAAATAGGTGGCTGCAGGCGGCTGGTAGGCAAATAGCCAGTCAACCAGTCAGACAATCAGTCAGCCAGTTAGAAACGATATTGTGTGGGTCTTTTGTTCGAGTCGATCGCATCGGGTGGTGTGCGTGTATTGGGCAGCGTTGATGGCGGCGCGACTCTGCTTGTATTGTGCTGAATGCGCGTGCATGCGTGACGGACGATGTTGTAGCCAACAACAGAAATTTTCAAAAAAGGAAACAGTAAAAATCTGTAATATGTACATATTGTACAATGCGATAGGTGCAGGCATAACAATAATTGAGGGGCAATGAAGGGAGGGGAGATAAGGGGAAATTGCATAAATTCAATTGGGAAATATTCTAAATAAACAGAATGCGAAACAACAGGAATTGGTAGTAAGAAATACTGAATACTACTAGAAAAAAAATATTACTTAAAATACCTTTTAGATGGTAACCCTATTTCTTTGAGAAAATTTATTAAACTA